TATTTCAAAAATCAGGTAAATGGTATGTAGGATGCCGGTGCTCCTTGTAAAACCCTTACATTTTTGCAAATGCTTATAGTGAATCGCCCTCTAGGCATCGCGTAGACCACTTTCTCGGACGAACCGACAGATTTGGCCATCTGCAAGTGTCTGCAAGTGTCTATTCTCTACGGATAGTCTTCTGACTTGGTCATGGTTTGGATAAGGAGTTCATAGCAGGCGATGAGATAAGAAAGTCAGTCAGCCTATTGAGGTTGGCTCCGTGTATCCTTATCTATGTGTGTCCGGATTGTGGCACAAAGTCAAAAATGTCAAATTGACATAAGGACCGATTAAGTGACTTTAGCCATTTGTTTGCGAACGACCTATGGTGGCAAGCTGGAGATCAGCAAACCTGAGCGTTTTCGGCCTACATGGGAGACCCAGTTTGAACAATTCACTATCTGTCAAGTTATGTCGGTGAACAACCGAGAAAACCAATAATCTACTAGCTACTTTGCTTGGAAGTGGATACGACATAGGACGTTTCCGATTCCGTCCATTCGGTTCTCTACCCAAGCCAGCGCCTTTGGCTTTGCCGAGGACCGAGAAGAGGTTCGCGTATAGCTTGCACCGCCATAAAAGCCAAGTTTTCCCAGGTTACCCGCAAAAGATGATTCAAGATATGTACTATTCCGGCCGCGTTGAGTTGAACGAGGCTAGTGCGCCCAGGCATGCAATGCAAGATGCATATGATATATTGAGGCCCACTCTTCTTTTGCCAACCATGTGCCTATAGAACCTATCGGCACCTACACATTGGGTAATATAGTTTCTTTTGAAAGACAGAAAAGTGGGGATGAAGTTAGCTAAGGACAGATCTGGTAGTTGCAAATCCTTTAAAAATCGTGAAATTAGTAAATATCGTGCATTGTCCACGCACCCAAGGGCTCCGTAGCTGCCTGTTACTTTCGCTCTATTGCATTCAAGCTGCGTCTGCTCGATGATATCCAGGTATTGATACCGCTACGGAGTAGGAAAGAGACGAAGAGACGGCCACACCGCATCGCAGGTCTATGTGTACCAAGAAGTACCGAGAACCAAGAATGGTCTGATATCATGGCTTACCTTGATTGCGAGTACGAACCCACTTAATCACAATGTGCTAATGCTACTGCCTAGATGCTGGCTTATCGAGGACTCGTAGCATTGTGCGTCCATATTCCGCCGCATAGCCCGAACGATATCTGTGCTCTGATGCGGCTCGCGTTGGATGTTCCCGGAATCCAAATAAGACTATCCTAGTTGTTGGGAAACCAAATCAGGTCAATATACTCTTATGCTGGTACGAAAGGATAGATCGGGCTTCATGCCGACGGTCAATCTTTCCGATAGCTTGAATTTGTTGCATGACTGGGTTGGATCCAGCTGAGTTTGCCAGATACGACTATGGTTTGGACTCTAGATTAATCTAACCCTTTCCATAGGCTTTGCAAACCGACATACGCGTTACACGCACAGTTGCGCAGCTTTCAGGGAGAGCCCGGATGGCATAAAGTGGACCACAACGGGATAGCAGCGATGTGTTGCTGATCATCGTTCATGCTCCATGGCGCTTTAGAAAGCCTGGCAGCGATCACTCGGCGAAAGGGTGTAAAGAGTAAAACCAAGGAAGGGTTTGGCTCGGCAGCCAGGAACCACCTAGCGGTCTGAGTGGCCCCACACCTTGCATGGTAGGGCGCATTGACCAGCCTAAGCGGCGCTAATCGGGCGCTACTTGTCCGTTGCTGTGGGGCGGTTCGATTCTCCTCCTTGGCGGTGCCGCGGTGGTCTGGTATTGTTGTTTGTTTCCAGTTGACTTACTCCGTACGAGTGTAGAGTCATCGGTCCGAGTAGGCGTTGCAACGTTCACGCTACACGTATATTCAGCCGGAACACAAACATCATAGTCCTCTCCGGGGCTTTTTTCACTCTGTACCCTTACGACAGTATAGTTTATGCGTTATACCTGTCAATAATGGCTTGACAGTTGTCTAACGCCACAGTACAGGTACTCCACTAATTTATTAGATATCAGCAGCAAGGGAGCAGCCCCACCCTATCGACTAGGAAGGAGGCTTTCAGAATAAGGCCCGCCGTTCTATCTGTAACTACTCCGTAAACGAAACAATTTGATTTTACGGGCAAAAGAGCAATGGAGAAAAAAGAGGCTGATTTATAAAAAGAATATGAACCGCCGTCCTCTCTGGTTTGTTGAGGATATGATATGAGCGTTCTTGCAAATTGCCTAACCAACTACTTAAAATCCCCCTGTTCGTATTGAATCTGGCAAACCGGTGAAATTTGGGTCGATACTCCGAACACAAGAATTCAAAGTACCGTGTATATCCTCAAAGATTGATTCATTGGACTAAAAATTCTTACTCTCGCCATGTCTACAACCCATTGTCCTCTGCAACTTTCAGATAAAATAGTCGGCTCACGCCTGTAGCCGGGTAGCTCTTGGGATGTTTATCCGGCCTCCTTGCATAGCCCTCCCTGCAACCCTGGAAAGGCCGATACCCCTCCGTAGCGTCTAAGCCTCAATGATAGGACAGACTTGACCTCATGATGAACCATGATGAGACACCCTCGAAGGTCACCCATTATTAAATCTAAGATCCCTTTATTACCGAGTCATTGAAGCATCATTGAGGCAAGGGGAGGCAAGACAGAGCTCGACATCTCCAGGTCCGGCAGTTATCTCTTATCTGTATGTAATATTCCTGATCCCGGCAAAGTTTATTTTACCGCTAGGATTTTAACTTTCGGCAGCCGATCAGTGCCGGACACATCCTCCATACCCTGGTCTTACATACTGTACGGAGTACATCCCCAGTGCTCCGTTGGATGACGCCGAGGCATGCTTACCTACCAGGTTTCTGGGACTGACCAAGGAAATAACGTGCGGGATGAAGATAACCAGATTGGTCCGAGACAGAAGGAGATATTTTCAGCCATTCATAGCTAAAACGCGCTACATCTTCCCCATGACAGCAAACCTGTGGAGTCGCACGATGGTTGAAGGATTAGTAGTTGTTGCTGCCTGGATCTAAGCAGTAGAGCAGCATCATGATACCAATGGACTGGTATCTAGAAGAGTTAACCTTAGCACTCAGTAAGCTCAACCAGACCCCGGTGGCAAACGACGAACCCAATGCCTAATAATACACGCAGAGAGAGAGACTGCTTTAGACTAGACAGTTTGATATCAATTCCTCCAAGGCCGCTCAAGAAATCGAGTCGAGAGTAGAAATTGCTGCGACTACTTTTCCCTTTTTTCACCGTGAACGGCTTACTGATGCTGGCTGCACATTTGCCTTGATTCCGACGCAGTGCATAGATGCAACGCGTGGTGCATGAACAAGGATACCATTGGCAATAGAACAATGCGCCCGTAAATTTTTTTCTTGTAGATAGCATGAATGAGATCGGATATAATAGAATCGTGCAAGCTGATGTTTTCCTTTCTTTTTGTTTCTTTTCTTTTCTTTCTGTGTCCTCGTGGAGCATTAGTATTATGCTGTCAACCAAATTGCAAATCTTGGCCTCGGAACGAGGAAAGATTGTGCTATTTGCCCAGAAGAAAACATCTTCTAAGAGGACCAACTTGATCAATAAGCTAGATAGAAAGGACTGAGGTTGACTGTTGAACAAATCCAAAGAAATCGTACTTGTCCGACAAGTATTATGCATGCCATGAAACCGCGGAAATCCCACCGCTACCTTGGACATTAATAAATATCCAATTAGAATAAACCATCTCAATGGTTTAGATATTTGACTTACTCCATTGTAGCGCGTCATACGACTTGCGCAGTTCGCACACGAACACCAAGCAGCGTATGCTATTGATGACACTAGCAAATTACGCAGTCTATCGTGCATTGGTCTCGAGGATCGGATGACGAAGATGGGCCGCACATGCATCGCGCAGTTGACTAGCTATCCGACATGGGGAACGAGGACGATAACAGTGGAACTCTAAATGTACTTATTTTATTTTATTTTATTTTTGCCAGCATAAACTTCTGATATATCCAACCCACGGACGGCCTCGATGGTAACCGATCTCTCACGTAACGAAAAAAACCATGGCGACCCACCCAAAAAGGGCTTCCCGTCGGTACCGGAAATAGTATCGACTATACATCCATACGTCCATCCGTACATACAGCGTACAGGCAGGCGGTCCTCGCTTCGTGTCTCCCTTCGGTCTCCTCCCTTCCTCTCCCAGTTTTCCCTCTCTCTTACCCCCCCCCCCCCCCCCCCTCTCTCGCCCCAGTGCCCATGTCTATTCTGGGCTCCGATTTCCTTTCGGACGGCGAATGATGTGATTCAGACTGCCATGATTGAATTGGTGGCTGGCCTTGAAGGGAGGATGCGAACTCCACAGGACCACTCAACATGCAGGATGGGCTCCATATGCCTGTCCGTACATCTATCTCGCAGCCCGATGGACTGGCTTTTACTTGTCCGAGCGACATTGACAGCCTGGATAAGATCGTCCTTTCTTTTTCTTGTTCAAGGCAATATCAATCCCTCGCTGGCCCTCCTGCTTGTCTGTATATCACTATTGATAGTACTTGTACCAATCGCCGAGTCTGATATCCCTCCTGCAAGTTTTCGGACAAATATTCGGGCATATTGCTTTCTTTCTTCCATTGCCTTTCTCTTTTATTCTCTCAATGCCACTTTTCACCATTGCTTTTTAGTTCCCCTTTCTCCTTCTTACACCCCGGCTGTCTGTCAACCATCGGATTTCCTCGACAGGACTTCTCTGACGGACAAGAGCCATCAAGTGGGATCAAGGCTACGGTACTCATCTCGGGGGATTATCATTTTACACCCTCTGCCAAATCCTTCCCGCTATTGGGCTTTTAGCCTACAGCCATCTTGCTCCTCTCCAGCTTCTTAGAATACACATGTCCAGTGTATAAAGAAGAACAGAGGGAAACGGTTCATTTCAGTGACCGTCGACGATGAAGTGGGGGTTCGCAGGCTCGCTGCTTGCTCTTCTTGCCTCGACAGCAACATGTTGGCCTTACGAAGAGTCCCTAGTCGACTATAACCTGAACGCAAACAAAGAAGCCACCGATCCGGCAAAATATTCTCATCCAGCATGGCCGGGCCATAAGTACCATCCTTCTCCGAAAAGCTGGCGATTTCCTTTCTATACCCTTTTCCTCGATCGATTTGTCAACGGCGACCCGACAAACGACAATATCAACGGGTCTGTCTTTGAACATGACTTGAGTTCAAACCAGATGCGCCATGGAGGTGATGCTGTTGGGTTAGTGGACACTTTAGATTACTTGGAGGGGATGGGTATCAAGGTAAGTGTACAATGTCCTTCATTGCCTCTTCAAGTGCTAATTGGGCTAGGGTATTTACCTAGCAGGAACAATTCTGATGAATCAACCTTGGGGCTCGGATGGCTATTCAATTCTCGACACCACGCTTCTGGACCAACACTTTGGAAACATCAAAACATGGAGAGATGCCATCGACGAGATACACAAGCGGGGGATGTATGTTCTGTTTGACAATACTATTGCAACGTGAGTTATTCTGTCCAATGGCCCCAATGATTATATGCCCATTCCGGGTACTAAAATGTCAATCAGCATGGGTGACTTGATCGGTTTTGAAGGACATCTGAATGAAACGACTCCCTTCTCAGTGGATGAACACAAATCATTGTGGAAAACCGAGCGACAGTATGTGGACTTTCGAATCGGCAACGAGTACAACAAGACCTGCGATTATCCACGCTTCTGGAACGAAACTGGCTGGCCAGTTGATAGCGACGTCCGAGATGAGCTTGTTGGGTGTTACGACAGTGACTTTGACCAGTACGGTGACAGAGAGGCATTCGGTGTCTACCCGGACTGGGAGCGTCAGCTGGCAAAATTCGCCTCCGTTCAGGATCGTTTGCGTGAATGGAATCCAAGCGTCAAGGAAAGATTGATTCAACATTCCTGCATGATCATCAAAGCACTCGATATTGACGGATTCCGATACGACAAGGCTACACAGGCCACGGTGGATGCCCTCAGTGACATGTCACATGCCTACAGAGAGTGTGCTCGCAGCGTTGGGAAAGACAACTTTTTCCTGCCTGGTGAAATCACTGGTGGTAATAACTTCGGTGCGATCTACCTGGGCCGTGGAAGACAACCAAACCAATACCCCGACTCTTCTCTGGATTCGATGAACATGACCAACACGTCCGATCACCAATATTTCCTGCGCGAGCATAATTTACAGGCCCTCGACTCCGCTGCATTCCATTACTCGGTTTATCGTACTCTCACCAGGTTTGTGGGCCTGGATGGAAACCTGGCCGCAGGTTACGACACTCCTTTAGACTGGACGGACTCTTGGAACGTGATGGTCATGACCAACGATATGATCAATGCAAACACCGGAAAGTTTGATCCTCGCCACATGTACGGTGCCACCAACCAGGATGTTTTCCGCTGGCCTGCAATTGAATACGGAGTCGAGAGACAGCTTCTGGGTCATTTCATCACGACTTTGCACCTTCCCGGCATCCCGATTCTGTTGTGGGGAGAAGAGCAGGCATTCTACATTCTAGATGCTACGGCGGACAACTACGTCTATGGACGTCAAGCCATGTCTCCTGCCACTGCCTGGAAAACACATGGATGCTTTGCTCTCGATGCTACGCAATACTACAATTGGCCCATCAAGGCCGGAAGGGAGGGCTGCCACGACGACGCAGTGGCCTACGATCATCGAGATCCTTCGCACCCCGTGAGAAACATCATCAAACACATGTTCCAGATGCGAGACGACTACCCGGTCCTGAACGATGGCTACTCTGTGGTCAAGCTGTCGAAGCAAACGCGCGAGATCCAGTATCCCGGGTCAAATGGCACCGCAACTGAGACAGGCATGTGGTCGGTTCTGCGAGATAGTGTGGCAGGCATCCAAGACCTGGGCTCTGATGCTGATAATCAACCGATTTGGTTGGTTTATCAAAACGAGAACAAGACCGTGGACTATCAATTCGATTGTGGCAGTAACGACTCGGCACTCATTTCTCCATTCCTCAAAGATACTACTGTGGTCAATCTGTTCTATCCTCATGATGAACACAAACTCAAAGAGGGTCCCAAAGCGTTGCATCTGAATGGCTCCAACACCACCAATGGCTGCCTAGACAGCTTGAAGCTGAAACCGTTCGAATTCAGGGCTTACGTACCCAAAACGAATTTCAAGGAACCCCGGCCCATGATCACACAGTTTGAACCAGGTCACGATGTGCCACAGGTCTCGAAGGTTGGACCGAATGATTCTGAAGATATCGATGTCAGCATCTACTTCTCGACGAAAATGGATTGCGACTCTGTCACCAAGGCGATCAGCTTTGACTCGACTACGGAAGCCGGAAAGAAGCCATCGCTCGACAAGAAAAATGTCAACTGCAAAGATGTCGACGCTGGCGAGATCAAGTGGACTGGCCAAATTCCGAATGCTTGGGTCTGGACAGCAAAATTGACAGGAGTCTACAATGGTGTTCATCGAATGACAGTCAAAAACGCCACGAGTTCCAACAAGGGGAAGTCCACGCAAGCCACGGATCACTTCCTCTTTCGTGTTGGTCAACAGGACAATCCGATGATTTTCAGCTCTGCGAATTACTCCTCCTCGCTGGTGCACAAGCATGATAACGGCTCCCTCTTTATCCAGCACCGCGCTGCCGGAGCCGACAAATACCGTTATTCCACCAATTGGGGAACCACTTTCTCCGACTGGATGGATTACCATGGAGGGAATGATTCCATTGAGAACCTACCTTGGTCGGGAACAGACAAGCAAAAGTGGCAAGGAGACCATGTGCGAGTCGAGTACTGGAGCAAGTTGACCGGAAGCAGTGATTATGTCCAGGAGGGTGATAATGGCTGGGATAATCCGCGACGTTTTCCTCATCTCTTCTTCAACGGTCCCTTCAATCAGTACGGATTCGATAAAGGGTTGGACAATGAGGTCAAGCAAGACAGCGAGGGATTTTGGAACTTCAAGTTCCTGGCAGAGTTCCCTGCACAAGGTCAATTCAACGTGTGGGGTATGAACCCAGACGGTCAGCCTGATCAGAGTTTCGTTTTTGGTGATGCCGATGGTGACGGTACTTTGGAACGTATGCCTCCTTCTTCCCTCAGTGAGGTTGCCATCAATATCTCCGATATCCCGCCCTCCCCATACCTGGCCTGGAATCTTCGTCTTAACGATGGAACCATGGAGGTCCAACTTCAACCGCATGGATCGCGAATCATTCAGCTGGTTATCTACATCTTGCTCTGGCTGGTACCTATCATGACAGCCGCAGCCTGCGTCTACGCATTCATGAAGAGTTTCTACCAGGTCAAATTCAACCAGGTCGGAGTCAGCGAGAAGAAGTCAATCCTTCCATTGGCCCTTCGAAGGAAGTTCGCTGGAAGCGGAGAGTCGAGCAATCCGCTGTTGCGGCTCGCAAACAAATCGGGATTCCTCCAAAGCACATCTGCTTTTGGCGCAGCAACTTCGCGGAGACGAACAATTTTGATAGCTACCATGGAATACGACATCGAGGACTGGGCTATCAAGATCAAGATTGGTGGCTTGGGCGTCATGGCTCAATTGATGGGCAAGCATCTCGGACACCAGGATCTTATCTGGGTCGTTCCGTGCGTTGGAGGAGTTGACTACCCACAGGACCAACCGGCCGAGTCGATGTTTGTGACTGTCCTCGGAAACTCTTACGAAGTTAGAGTCCAGTATCATGTGCTTCACAACATTACATACGTGCTGTTGGATGCTCCAGTTTTCCGCCAGCAATCAAAGGCTGAGCCGTATCCAGCTCGTATGGATGACCTGGACAGTGCCATCTATTACTCTGCCTGGAACCAGTGCATCGCACAGACAATTCGACGTTTCCCCATTGACCTGTACCATATCAACGACTACCACGGCTCCATTGCACCGCTTTACCTTCGCCCTCAGACTATTCCTGTCTGTCTTTCTCTCCACAATGCGGAATTCCAGGGACTGTGGCCAATGCGTACACAGAAAGAAAGGGATGAGGTTTGTTCTGTCTTCAACCTCGACCTTGACACTGCAAGGAGATATGTCCAATTCGGTGAGGTCTTCAACATGCTTCACGCCGGAGCGAGCTATCTTCGTGTTCATCAGCAAGGTTTTGGTGCCGTTGGCGTGTCTCGAAAATACGGCAAGCGCTCCTATGCTCGTTACCCTATCTTCTGGGGTCTAAAGAAGGTCGGCAACCTGCCCAATCCTGATCCTTCCGACACTGGTGAATGGAACAAGGAGTTGCCCAAGGAAAGCGAGATCCAGGTTGACCAGCAGTACGAAGCCAGTCGAGGAGAGCTCAAACGCCAGGCACAGGAATGGGCAGGCCTTGACCAGAACCCTGACGCTGACCTTCTTGTCTTTGTTGGAAGATGGTCGATGCAGAAGGGTGTTGATCTTATTGCTGACGTGATGCCTGCTGTTCTCGAAGCCCGTCCCAACGTTCAGCTGATCTGCGTTGGTCCCGTCATTGACCTTTACGGGAAGTTTGCTGCTCTCAAGCTTGACCATATGATGAAGATCTACCCCGGACGTGTATACTCCAAGCCGGAGTTTACTGCACTTCCACCGTTCATCTTCTCTGGAGCCGAGTTTGCCCTGATCCCCTCTCGTGACGAACCTTTCGGACTTGTTGCCGTCGAGTTCGGTCGCAAGGGTGCTCTCGGTATCGGTGCTCGTGTTGGTGGTCTCGGTCAAATGCCTGGGTGGTGGTACAATATCGAATCCACGACGACTTCCCATCTGTTGCATCAATTCAAGCTTGCTATTGGAAGTGCCCTCAACTCCAAGTCCCAGGTCCGAGCAAAGATGCGAGCACGATCTGCTAAGCAGCGTTTCCCCGTTGCTCAGTGGGTCGAGGATTTGGAGATCTTGCAGACCACTGCTGTCCGGATTCACAGCACTCGACAGGCAAAGTCAAACGGCCAAGCTATGACACCTTCTGGATACACTACGCCTAATGGAATGATGACCCCGAACGGCATGATGACACCACCCATCGCCTCAACCGGAACCGCTACACCGACCGGAATGCAGACGCCCCCAATTGCCCATTCAAGAGAGGGAAGCTACTCGAATGTCAATCGTTTGAGTGCTTACGGACCGCAGCAACGAAACACCATTGTGTACAGCCGCGACCCGAGCCCTGGCGAGCCCCAACAGCCCAAATCTGGGCTCAGCCGACAGTTGTCTTTGGGTGTCCGTGCTGGACCAGGTCATTTGATTCGCCGTGGTCGTCGTCGCATGAGGAGAGGCAACGAAGACAATAACACTGCCTCTATGACAGAGGAAAGCAGCGACGATGACTTCATCCCGAGCTACTATGGTGAGGACGAATACACCCTTACCCCCGAGCAGGTGGAAGCGGAACGTCGACACGGGTCCACGCAACCACAGGATTCACAAGGTCAGGCGAGAGATTTCTTCGGTCCTAGGAACCCAAGCCAAGCCTCGCTTCCACCTCGGCCGCTCTTATCGCCGGCTGGTTCTGAGGTCGATGAAGGCGCGCTACCGATTGCCCGGCCACCCTTTGCCGAGCCTGGTAACCGACTCAGCAGCGCATCCGTCCTGTCAGTGAACTCCATCGTTGGGGAAAAGAAAGACTATAAGCTACAAAAGGTCGATCCCTTCTTCACTGATAGCAACGGCGAGTACTATAGAGTCTTCGACAAGAGGCTCGAGAACTTGAATGGCGGCAACTCCGAATCGCAGCTCTGTATCGAGGAATATCTCATCAAGAGTGAACGCAAATGGTTTGACAAGTTCAGAGATGCCAGGCTAGGCCGAAACCAGTCCCCTGCCTCGTCAGTGTTCCAGAGCAAACTCGAGACACCTTCACCCAACGGTTCTGTTTCCAATGATGATATGGGTTCGCGCGAGAGTGGCAGCGATGCTCACAATGAAAAGGACGAGTTCCTCCTTGGAAACGATTACGTGCCCCCGTCTGGTCTGCGAAAATGGATGCAAGTTCGAATTGGTGGCTGGCCTGTCTACTCGTTCTTTCTTGGACTAGGGCAAATTATCGCCGCCAACTCGTACCAGATTACGCTGCTTACCGGAGAAGTCGGTCAAACGCCTGAGAAGCTGTATGGAATTGCCACAGTTTACTTGGTCACATCTATCATCTGGTGGTTTGTATTCCGTTTCTTCAAATCGGTCGTTGTTCTCTCCATCCCGTGGCTTCTGTATGGTCTCTCTTTTCTGATCATCGGTCTCGCTCATTTTGAGAGCGATGGGTTCTCTCGAGGCTGGATCCAGAACGTTGGAGCGGGTGTGTACGCAGCTGCATCATCAAGTGGTTCCTTGTTCTTCGCGCTCAACTTCGGTGATGAGAGTGGTGCCCAGGTAAAGGAATGGGTATTCCGTGCCTGTATCATTCAAGGATCGCAACAAGCATACATCATTGGTTTGTGGTATTGGGGCACCACCATCTCCCAGGCCGTCGCGGACGGAGTCACCAACGTCCAAGGCAATATCACGAACACCTGGAGAATGACGTACGTTCCATCTTCCTCTGACTCTAATCACGCACTTGTGGCTAACAATCTCATTTCAGGGCTATCTGTGTACCAATCGCTGTTTTCCTTTGGGCAATTGGCTTGATCATCTTCTTTGGTCTACCCAACTACTACCGCCAGACTCCTGGAAAGGTTCCGTCATTCTATACATCTGTCTTCCGGCGGAAGATCGTGTTGTGGAACTTCATCGTGGTCATCTTGCAGAACTTCTTCCTCAGTGCTCCTTACGGTCGAAACTGGGCCTGTAAGTAGACGATTACCTCCCACCCCTGACGTTTAATTTACGAAAAACTAACTTCTCCTTTTTCTAGTCCTCTGGGACTCCAAGCACGCAAAAGACTGGCAGGTCGGTATTCTGTGCGCTGTCTTCTTCGGCGCGGTTTGGGCATTGGTCCTCTTACTCTTCGGCCGCCTCTCGAAAACACACAGTTGGATCCTCCCCGTTTTCGCATGCGGATTGGGCGCACCACGCTGGGCCCAAATCTGGTGGGGTGTCTCGGGCATGGGATCATTCCTCCCATGGTCTGCTGGAGGCGCTGCTGGCGGAGCATTAGTATCTCGAAGTCTCTGGCTCTGGCTCGGTATCCTCGACGCCCTACAGGGCCTCGGCTTCGGTATGATTCTGCTCCAGACCTTGACGAGAATGCACATCTGCTTCACTCTTCTTGCATCTCAGGTGCTGGGATCCATCGCCACTATCTGTGCGAGGGCATTCGGTCCGAATCGGATCGGTCCTGGACCAATCTCGCCGGATGTCACGGTTGGTGCTAGTGCTGTTGCAAATGCATGGTTCTGGATTGCTTTGTTCTTCCAATTGTTGATATGGTAAGACTTAAGTCACCCTTCTCCTCAAGATGAACGCATGACGTCTAACTTATGTCCTACAGTGCCGGTTTCCTGCTGTTCTTCCGGAAAGAACAGCTAACCAAGCCCTGATCCCATGTCGCCAACATCCTGCACGGACTATGTACAAGCCCAGTCCTACACACGATGACATACGAATTGTTATCGAAAGCCCATACAAAAAGGAACAACACCCGGAAATCCCCTCGGGGTAACACACGACCCCAAAACCTACATACAAAAAGCAACCCCATCAACTAAGCAAGCGTTTCTGTACATTTAATTGACATTTCGACGTCCGATACCATTCTCGTGGTGATTGTTATTTTCTCATTGCCCTTTCTCGACATGAACGAATGCAAAGAAGAAGAAGTCAGCTAATGACATATTCATGTGGTCACGGATGTGGATGTGCATTTTTTTTTCATGGGATATACATACATATTTTTTTTTTTCTTTCTTGGATTTATGAACTCGGATGTCGTTACGTTCCTTTTTTTGTGATTCATTGTTCTGTTCTGATTTGATTGTCTGATTTGATTTGTTTTTGCGTGTTCTTTGGATTTGATTTATGTTTTTGTTTTGTTTGTTTGGATGTTCAACCTCCCTATCTATCATGGGGGTACATAATGGGTGGAATATTTTGTACTTAATGTCTTTTTTCTTTCTTCGTTTCTATATTTAACTTGCTTTTGGTTGATTAACTTTGGATATCTTCCTGCATGATCTTTGGGGGTTGTCTTCTCCTTTTCGCTTCTCTCTACTTCTCACATAATCATCTCTCTAATGTTTATCGGGGTAGTTGTCATAGTTCATACTACGATATCATCAAATACAGTGGAAAATTGGTCAAGATTAAGTATTTGTTTGTTCCTTTGTAAGCGTTCTTCTAAGTAGAAGTTGATATCCATTATATAAAAAGCAGAACAATCTTTTGATCCCGAAAACATAACACACATTCCCAATGCGTTTCCAATTCCAATTCAATGTGTAAGGTAGCTGGTTTCCCTTTATTAAGCCAATCCCAAGCTCGTAAAAAAATTCCAAATCAAATAGTTAAACCGAAAAAAATGGCACTGCAGCTGCATAAACGTCGTATCCTGGATGTCGTAGAAAGAATCTACCACTCCAAAGGCTCGTTCTTGACATCGCCCCGGTTGGTCTTGGGGACCGGCGCCGCCTCGATGCGGGTGGCTCCGCGCTTGCCACGCTTGAGGTAGCCGCTGCCGTCGAGCCAGGGGGTGTCGAGCGTGCGCTTGCCCTCGAACGAGCGGATCTTGTCCTCCATCTGCAGGGTCAGACCGATGTCATCCAGGCCGTTGACCAGGCAGTGCTTGCGGAAGGCGTCGACGTCAAAGCTGGCGAGCGAGTTGCCCTGGGCGTCCTTGACTTGCTGGTTGACGAGGTCGATCTCGATCTCGCGGCCGGCGGTGGCCTCGGCGGCGATTTTCTGCAGAGCGGCCTCGTCGGAGATCACGACGGGGAGCATGCCGTTCTTGAAGGTGTTGTTGAAGAAGATGTCGGCGAACGAGGGGGCGATGATACACTTGATGCCGAAGTCGAGGAGGGCCCAGGGGGCGTGCTCACGGGAGCTACCGCAGCCGAAGTTGGGGCCGGTGACGACCAGGATCTTGGAGTCGCGGTAGATGCCTTGGTTAAGGATGAAGTCGGGGATTTCCTGACCGTCCTTGTAGCGGAGTTCGTAGAACAGCGCGCTTCCGAGACCGGTTCGCTTGATGGTCTTCAAGAACTGCTTGGGGATGATGGCATCGGTGTCGACGTTGGAGCGGTCCATCGGGGCAGCAATACCCTTGAGGGTGGTGAACTTGGGGAGACCGGTGCTGGAGCCGCCGCCGGAGGTGTTGGTGTGAGGCTCGTTGTCCGCAGGCAGATCCAGGATGCGGTCGAGCTCGTCCTCGGTCTCCGGCTCCTCCGCTTCCGGCTGGACATCAACCTTCGGCTGCACTTTGGCCAGAACGGGGCTGGCAACGAGGTGCTCACGGACGTCTGCAAGCTTGCCGACGATACCGGCCGTCGCGGCCATGGCAGGAGACATGAGGTGGGTACGACCACCGGCACCCTGACGTCCTTCGAAGTTACGGTTGGAGGTACTGGCGCAACGTTCCTGGGGAGACAGAATATCAGGGTTCATACCCAGGCACATGGAGCAACCAGCTTCTCGCCACTCGAATCCAGCCTCCTCGAAGATCTTGTCGAGGCCTTCGGATTCCGCCTGCTGCTTAACCAAACCAGATCCGGGAACAACCATCGCACGCTTGACATTCGGGGCGATCTTCTTGCCCTTCACGACCTTAGAAGCCGCCCGCAAGTCCTCGATACGAGCGTTCGTGCAAGAACCGATGAAGACCTTGTCGATAGGGATTTCTTTCATAGGAGTGCCAGATGTGAGGCCCATGTACTCCAAAGCGCGCTTGCAGGCAAGTTTTCGGCTCTCGTCCTCGAAGTCGTCGGGCGAGGGAACGACGCCGTTAATGGGAATGACATCCTGAGGAGAGGTTCCCCAGGAGATGGTAGGAATGATGTCCTTGGCATCCAGCAAAACGGTCTTGTCGTAAGCGGCTCCGTCATCGGAGGCCAGGCCCGACCAGTAGTTGACGGCCTTCTTCCATTCAGCACTATCGTACTTGGGGGCGAGAGGGCGGCCCTTGAGGTATTCAAAGGTGGTCTCGTCGGGTGCGATCATGCCAGCACGCGCACCGGCCTCGATAGACATGTTGCACACGGACATACGGGCCTCCATACTCAATCCGCGGATGACGGATCCACAGAACTCAATGACGGCACCGGTACCTCCAGCGGTTCCGATAACACCGATGATATGGAGGACAACGTCCTTGCTAGTAACGCCGGGGTGCAGCTCGCCATCAACCTGGATGCGCATGTTCTTGCTTCGACGAGTAATAAGGGTCTGGGTGGCGAGAACGTGTTCGACTTCACTGGTACCGATACCGAACGCGAGGGAACCGAAAGCACCGTGTGTCGAGGTGTGACTGTCACCGCAGACGACCGTCGTTCCGGGCAGAGTAAATCCTTGCTCGGGTCCGATGATGTGAACAATGCCCTGACGCTTGTCGTCCATTCCAAAGTATGTAAGACCGAAGTCCTTCACGTTCTGTTCGAGGGTGCTGCATTGAAGGCGAGAGTCGTTTTCTTGGATGAAGTCGTCGACGTTCTTGAAGGATTTTCGGGAGGAGGTCGGGATGTTCTGCGATTGAGTCAGTGTCGTTGCCTTCGAAGAAAGACGAAGAAAAGAAGAGAATCACGTACGTGATCGACAGTGACCAAAGTGCAGTCCGGCCGGCGGACTTTTCGGCTGGCATTCTTGAGTCCCTCAAAGGCTTGCTATATGATCGTTAGATTTTATATTGCACCCCAAAAGTGAAGAAGTTGAAGTGCTGGTAGAAATCGCACGGATCGGCTCTACTAACCGGTGAAGTCACTTCGTGAACCAAATGTCTGTCTGCAAAAAGAAATTAGATCTTCTGAGCCCTGAAATAGCGTCGCGAAGTGATAAAGACTTACCGATATAGATGAGAAGAGTGCCATCTTCCTGCTCGTTGACAATGTGATGGTCCAAGACCTTATCGTACAAGGTCTTGGGCTTCTTGTCGGCGGAAGGCATGAGGGGCAAATGGGGAAATCGAATGGATTGTAGGGAAAAGAGGGAGGAGAGAAAAGGATAAAAAAAAGCGAGTCACTGGCAAGAAGCTAGCAGTGTCTCCAGAAGTCAAGAGAGTCAAGAGGGTATAATCTGGAGAAGGCGGAGGGAGAGAGAGGCGTGGATGCAATGCTTTAAAGCCCCGACGAGACCGCGATGTCGCTCGACACCCGACGAGGGGCCTTCCCGATCTCGGCTGGTCAGCGCCCAATGTCTGGTCGGCCATTGGCCACACGCGGGACCCACCGTGACTCGGGCGACCGACACCGGCGCGGCGTGCGCTTAGGCTCGGCGCCGGGATCACGGGACCTGACAAACACTCGGCCCGTGATTGACCAATCCGTCGAAGGATTTACGCCATCTGCAGGGATTGCAGGGATGCTCTGATCTATATCATTGACGGTGCGACTCCGGAGCCTCATATCCGCGCATGAGCTCTTCAACAGGTATTTTGCTCTCAACACTCAGACTTACACATTGACGGGGTATGGACGAGACTTCCAGCAAAAATGAGAACTCTCTACGGAGGTGGAAAGAAGCATTCTATGACGTAATTTTATATTAGTAACCAGAATACTCAAAGTGGGCTCAATTAGGTACAAAATGTGGAATATGAGTGGAACAAGAACGATTCTATGAGCAAACTGATGGACTTTCGGCTGTTGACGGTTTCAAAAGGCAAACGCTGCATTCGCCGCCAGCAATCCACTCGCCTGGCCTGTCACCTTAGGATCAGGTCCAATGAAGTTGTTGGGGAAGCCCACATCTAAAGGTCGCACACTCTCGAGGTATTCGATTTGTTTCGGAGTCAATTTGATCTTCAACGCCTGGATGTTGTCGTGGAGATACTCGACCTTTCTACCACCCACCAAGGGGAACACGTTGGGTGCCTTGGCCATAACATAGGCCACCGCGATGGCCGTCACGGATTCGATACCGTGCTCCGAGGCCACCTTAGCCAGGGCTTCGCTCATTCGGATTTCGTCTTCGGTCTGATCGCCGTTGCCTAGCATGCGTCGCAGTCCTTCGCCTGTCTGCTTCCGCTCCTCGACAGCCTTCTTGGTCTTGAACTTGCCGCTCCCAAGGACATCCCAGGGGGCTAGAGCCATGCCGAAGTGTCGCGCCATGGGGATAATTTCCCTCTCAAAGTCACGCAGCATCACATTCCAGCGTCCCTGGTAGATGCTGAAAGGCGTCTTGCCGTGGTCTCGAGCGTAGGTGTTGGCCGCGCTCACAACCCAGGCGGGAGAATCGGAGATGCCCAAGTAGAGGACTTTTCCTTGCTGCACCAAAATGTGAAGGCTGTCCATGATCTCTTCAATAGAGGTCGTGTGGTCCCACCAGTGGAGGTACAGGATATCGATCCAATCAGTTTGCAGCTTGCGCAAAGAGTCACGCACGCTCATGTGCAAACTGCGGCGGTGGTTTCCGCAGTGGTTAGGGGCGTGGCCCTTGCCGAGTGCGTAGCTCTTGTAGTCGGTCGTAAACTTGGTTGCGATAACCAATTGATCACGGTTCTTCCGGGATGTCATCCATTCTCCCAGCCACGTCTCAGACTGCTCGTTTTGATAGTTGTTGGCGCTGTCGATGAAGTTTCCGCCGGCCTCCACGAATCCGTCTAGGAGTTTAAAAGAGGCCTCTTTATCCATGGATCCCATGACATCGGTCCATGCATCTCCAATGGACATCGCACCTAGCTGAAGAGGCGACACCCGGAGGCCTGCAGTGGAGGAAAGAATGCGGTAGCGACCAAGCTCGGTGGCTGGTTCGGGCGCAGGAGCGAAGAGACTCGTCATGGTGGTGGATGCAGAATTAGACTGTAACAGAGAATATTTCGCCAGTTGTTGGAAGTGAAACGTTGTGAAGCGTTAAGGCGATGGAATTGAAAGTCCAGTTTCATACCTGGTATCTCTAACTTTATATAGGCGCCATTGCGTTGGAGAAGGTCCTTACTTACAAAGTTAGGTATCATCAACCTACCCATATCTCCGAAGGGATGCCACAAAGCTGACTTCATAATGGAATTCTTTGACCAGTGAGGGATGGGTTGTCCTCAAGGCTCCACTCTCCCCGTAACTGAGGGACATGCATGGCGCTAGGTTGAACATCGATGACACCGGAAATAGGCGATTGCATGAGGGAACTAAGTTAATAATCCAAGGCTGACGTGAATCCCAGCAAGGAGCCGATGGAGTTAAGGCCTCCAGACCCCGGGAGTTAAGCCGGGATGACACGGGACCTTGCTTAGGTAACCCCGCTGGTCTCTTGCAGGCGATTCTCAATTGATCCTTCACTTTCTTTCTTCACGGATTTCGATAGTGGCCGATTAGCAGACAAAACGCCATGTTATGTCTCTATCGCCGTCACACACACGCCTTGGTGTATTGCCAGCCTAGGAGTAGCAGGATGAATCAATGACACAGGTGGATGTCAATCTCCCAAGAACTATCCCAAATATACCTCCCGTCAACCGGGTTCCAACTAACAGTTACAACACTGGTCGACTTTGGCGGCCAGGGTTCTCGAAAATATAATCAAGAATCATCCATCAACTACTGGGGCTACCTTCAAGAGGAAACACCCATATTTGGCAAAATATCGTCCAGAGACCCTGTTCTAAAGATAAGCTACTCAGCATCAACCGTCGGTTGAATCGGGAATCTGGAATTGGTCATGATGGAAGTTTCTACACGGACACCAATTCTGACAGCAACACACTCTTAATTCATGCACCCCCCTCCTCACCTCTGCCTGCTCTGGCTCCATGATTATACCAAACAATATACCCACCGGCAGCCACGCAACTAAGGAATAGAATATACACTTTGATCTCCTCATGTCGATCGAACCGCTCATGATATCTCGGTGCCTCTTCCAGACGAATGGTCGCAGTGGAAATAAAACTAGGGTGGGCCCGACCCGCCGCAATTCCTCCATCAGCTGCGGTGCCATAACCTTGAGATCGACAACGCCCGCTTCGTACCGCAGATGCTTGCCGAAAAACTCGGTCACAGGGAAGGTGATGTTCTGAGCGATGGAATCTCCCAAGGGTGCTCCAGCACAGCTGCTCTGAGCCATATACACACCGACCTTCCCAAGACCGCCATTTTGAGCTGCCACGCCGACCATGTTTTGTAGGACAATGCCCTCTTGTAGGTCTCCTTTGGTGTTGATCGCTTCCATGCCCACGCAGTCCAATGCGCGGGTGACGCCCAATGGTTCGCGCTCCAGGATCTGCTGCACTGGGTCCGACTCGTTGAAGTTGATTGGAATGGCTCCGATCGAGGCAGCCCGCTATAATCGCATCGGAACGTGGTCGACTGAGTAGACGCGCGACGCACCGCGAAGGAGGGCAGAGTATGCAGCAAGTAGACCGACAGGGCCGGCCCCGAAGACAGCTACTGTGTCGCCAGGTTCAAATCCGGAGCAGTCCACCGCACTCCATCCCGTGGCGAAGATATCCGAAACCGTCAGGTAATCTCTCTAGATAGACGAGTTCGTAGAGTTGTGAGTCAAAGGCACCGGAATAAGACTATCGTCGGCGAACGGGACACGAGCGTATTCCGCCAGTGAGAGAATTCGCCCGTTAGCTGACAATACGTAAGCCACAGGAGAGCTGGACCTATATTTCTCTACCTTGCAGACCATCCAGACCAGAACCCCCTCCATAAGACTGAAGACTTTCCGGCTCCATCTCCAAGTGGCCCGAGCCCACATTATCAGGGATCACGACATAATCACCTACTTCTAGGGACGATACTGCGTTTCCGATCTCAGAAATGTACCCAATGGCCTGCTGGCCCATTCCCCAAGGAGGAGTGCCACCTTGGACCCCATGGTACATGTGCAGGTCCGAGCCACAAATAGCGGAGGTGGTGATGCGGACGACTGCATCGGTGTGTTCGATAATGTTTGGACGAGGTAGATCGACAACAGATACCTGAAAAGGGGTACCATCGAAGACGACACCTCGAATCGTAGTTTTCGGAGCCATTGTGTATTAGGATTCGAGGGGAAAAGCCTTACTATTCAGCGATCAAAATAAAGTGACGAAGAACCTGCAGAAAAACATAATAACAAGCATACAGGTCTATAAAGCCTTTTACAGGCCGTGCAATCGGTAAATACGGTTCTAGTCGCCTGCAGGCATTAACTTCACAAAACGACGCATGTTGAAGCTCATGAGCGCAAGCCCTCTATGAGCTTACATTACCGTAGATGTTTTGGACAATTCAGTATTAGTCGAAATTAAGAGATATAACCTTGACTAATTCTCAGAAGGAAAGAGCATGGAAATGTCAGAGAAGGAAAGAACATAGAAAATGAGAATTGAATGGACATTCGCCAAAAAGCTGATATTAAGTTGAAGTTTGAAGGATCTGCTAGCAATAGTGACTGAAAATGATATGTTATTGGGCATGCTGAAAAACCCCCTTTAGAATCCGGTCGACCTTTTCAATTGTATAGTCACTCAAGTTCTCCCCCTTGATGTTAACAGGGGCTTCGGTATCACCACAAGGTATACTATGAATCCACCGCACAAACAGCTCGTAATTATCTTTCAGATTCTCAGTAAAATCGTAGAATCTGCTTTTCGAAATGTGAAGATGTTCTCCATCATGGTATGCCTGCAAGATTCGCGCTTTGGATCTGAAAACGGAAATCACCAAAATCTATATGAGAACGATGATTAGCGGGGGAATTGTTACAGGTCCAATAAGTTCCAGGCTTAGAACTAGGATTAATGTGAACGAGAGGAAATCTCACTGGAAAAGTATAGTGCTGTATATAACCGAATTGAATCATTCTCCATCTCATATACGCTACAATAGGTAGCAACTCACTGCGACGAAGATCTTCCTCGGCTTCCGTGTAATGAATTACCCTGAAACTGCAGTGAGGTTTTTCGAGTGTTGTTGCTTGGATATCTCCTCGTGTTTGCCATTCAAACAGAACATCGGGCGTGTGTTCACCTGTTCCAATGCTCGGCGTCTCTTTGTAGCATCTTCACAGTCGGATTTATAATCAGTATTACTCATTATAGACTTGTGTCATAGTGATAAAAGATTGCTCACTTTTGCTGGATCCAAGGCCGTTCGATTTCATTCCGAAGCCCTGCACCCCAGAGTTGATTTAAAAGACTCTGCATCGTGATGTCGACACGGCGTGATTCTTCACTATATCCCTCGGTCCACTCGGAGAACTGCACCCTCTCCCATTCGATGACTGGTAGCTTGTTCTTTGGAAACGGCCTGAAGAAAACAGGTTCCTCCCCAAAAGCTTCTCTCAGAAGGTCAAAGGATGATATTTTGATACCAAGGTTGTCCAAATTATGATCAGTCAGTTCCAAACATTTTGAATTCTTTGCTGTCTCCAGAATTCGTGTCAGGGAACGGCATATGATATTTGTTCTCGCCACACGGCTAAGAACAGCCGCTCGAGTCTTCTGAAATTTTTCGTTGACTCCCATCGTAGGTTTGCAGGCGGTTGACAACAGTAGACCAAGTTGCCTTGCGGCTCAGCTAACGGTATAAACAAAGAAATAAGGCACAGAGAGAAGTACTTTTTGCTGGTACAAGAGCACTGACAGCTGGTATATATACTCGAGTCGACTTGATACTCCGTATGTTCCATAGAAGTGGCGGAAGCGAGTAATCCGGGGATGTTACCGAGGCAACAAATTATGATTGCTGCAAATAGTCAGTTATCCTGACCTCCCGGGTAACTACTGGTCAAATCATGGCACTTGCTTAACCTTTTTTTGGCATCTACTCAATTACAGGTCTCGTATCCCATTTGGGTCTGTCATCCGTTAGCAATGTACAGATAAACGAGATAAACTATAAACTAACATGGCATGATAGCCGAATGTCATCATGTCGCATGCGTCGCCAGTCCTGCAGACCTCGGCCTACATTCGCAAAGTACTTGATTGGAAGGTACTGGCTCACGATGTACTGTGGCTAGAATGCAATTGAATGCCATTGCAACCTATTCTATCTAATAAAAACTAATACACATAATACCCGCTCAAGCTCCATAGAATGATCATGTTTCGAACCAATCGTTCTATTCTATACTGCATATCGAAACGCTCGGTTGTCCTCGCGAAAGACCAGCAATGCAAGACAATGTCGCACAAAGAGACCAAACAGACCACAAACAAACTGAACAATGACCATGCTTAGGGCCAGCCGGTCTTCTCTCATCGGTCCCCACCAGACTAACCAGAGATTGAGAATAGTGAGATTCGTGGACTCCACGATCTGGCCCTTGTCGTTTTTCGTGACGCGTACTAGTCGCAGGCTGTGCAGAAGATCCAAGGCAGTCGCAACGAGCGGCGAAGGTGGCACAGTCCATTCCGTCACGGAAGCATCCAGCAGACCGCTGATGCCGTTGAACCGTGGCAGCCTGTGTCGGGGGCATGGAATCAACTTGAAAAGCTGAGGAGTCGAATACAGAAAGTTGAAGATCTGCGGAATGAAGAGAAGCAGGAGGGTCTTGCTGAAGTGTCCTAGAATGCTAACGACGGCAAACACCATGCCAGCAAAATAGCAGTAAGTGTCCCCAACAAAGACCTTGGACGGGTACCAGTTATGGAACAGCAAGGCCAGCGATACACCGACAAATGGAAGAAGAAGGTATAGAGAGAAGAGGTGCGAGTCGGTAGCGGGATGTGGGAATGGCGTAATGGGCGCGAGGTACAGCAAATCATTCGCAATGAGCAGGACCGCAATCACGAGAGATTGAGCGACCTCCACGCCGTTGATACCGGCTAACATGTTAATAGAGTTAGGACAGAATATAGAAACCGCAGCCATGTACGCATAATAAAGCCAACCAAGATCGACAAAGGATCCTAGGTAGGGCTGCAATGGCACCGGGACTACCACATGGGTGACACCAAAGTCCACAAAGTACACTATGAGCATTGGAATTGCCCCGAATGCTGGTATGAGAACTTTGTGTCTCCATCTAATGTCAAGTAGGTCATCACCAATACCCAGTATGACGATACATTGAAGAGAGAGCAGTCCAGAGAGATAGGATGCAAGCTAGAAGTCCCCAAGTCAATAATGCGGTGAAGGCAAGATGTGAAACAATGGTCATAAGATAAATCACTCACTTTTCCATGAGGAAACCGATGTAGCATCCGTCCATTTTCAACATGCTCGACTTCCAGAACAACATCGCGATTACCTCCACCCGAAGTAGCGGCCACAATATCCTTGTAGAAGGCAAAAGGAATAAAGAAAATGAGGCCTAGAAGATAGACAATAGCGCATACTGCGCCCATGGTCTCGGGACTAGTTGTCGAAAAGTTAGCGAGAACGTATCTCGTCGATTTTTGCAGCCTATCTACACGGATCAAGGAAGGAAGGAGATATCTGTAACGTACATCTCCGGTCTTCGAGGTTTCGCCATATCCCTGCCCTTCAGGCCAGCTTTCACAAACACGGGTCCAAGCCATCGGATCAGACTGAAGGTGATCGCAAATACGATCCCACTGAAGGCAATTGACGCCACCAAGGGCGCGCCTTCACCTTGGAATGAATTGAAGATAATACCCAGGCAGACCCCCACAAGGATCAACAGACGCCAAGTCTCCCGCGAGGAGAGAGAACTGGAAGTTGCGGAACTCATCATGAACGGACCGATGCCAGCATGCCTGTCTCACTGGCTCCTGTCCAAAATATAACTCTCCTGTCGAGAGAAAGCAGACGACGCCGAGGACGCGCAATGCAATGTGGCATTTAAAGCAAAGACACTAGACAGTATGTAAATTCTGCCGGATGATTGCGACCGCCACGTCAGGCGGTGTACGTGGCTCCCCAGGCTTCGACGGCTTACATAACTGCTCCCTCCCAGCCATTCGACGGGATTGTTTCGCCGGCTTCACATGCACGTCCCGCTGGATTCCATACATGGAGATTCGTCGCCAACCGGCCGCTCTCAATTTAGTACGTGTCTGTATGCCTCACCGTGGTGGCTGAGGCTGCTTGCCAGGCTTTATTTTGGGTTGGTGACACCGACTACCCCTCGGCCCGACATGTCTGGATTCGCCGATTTCGACGCCGGTCATCGTGACTTGGTATCGGTCACCAAGTTCAACTTCTATGGCAACCGCATCGTAACAGCATCGTCCGACCACCGCATGAAAGTTTGGGATCAGAAGGATGGCGAGTGGCAGCTCACCGACACCTGGCGTGCTCATGACGCCGAGATCCGGGATGTAAGCAACACCACCAGCCGTCCACCCCCTGTTCCCTGCACGCTGCTACGGAGAGGTACTAACCCCTGCAAAGGCAACGTGGAACGGTCCGTTCACTGGCCAGCATATTGGCAGTGTAGGTGAAGACATGAAATGCAAGATCTGGCAGGAAGATGTTACCCAGCCGCCCAACTCTGGCCGCCGCTTCAGGGCTGTCTTTCGGATGACGGCGCCGCAGCGACATCCATTTGTCTCAATTGACTTCCGCAACATTGACCTGGAGTCATATTTTGCCGTGATTACACGTGATGGCTATTTGATGATCATGGAACCAGTCACTCCAGACACACTTACGGACTGGCAACCTCTGGACCAGTTTCGCGTGTGTACTGCACCCGAGCGAGGAGAAGAAACCAGCTTCAGAGTACAATTCCATCAGGATCCCACGGACATCACGCATTCCGTACTACCTTCTTGGGATCGCAAGAGTCTTTCACTGGTGGTTGCGGCTATGGATAGCGTCAAAGTATATCGCACGGACGCGAATCGTCGCTTCTATCATGCCATCGAATTGTCAGGCCATGGAGGGCTGGTTCGAGATATCGCCTGGGCCAATGGATCAGTTCGAGGTTACGACCTAATTGCAAGTGGCTGCAAGGACGGGTTCATTCGGATCTTCGAAGTGTATACTACGTCATCCAACCAGGGGAGCCAGAACTCCAATGGGAGCCATGTCGATTCCATTAATAACCAATCATCGACCCGGGCAACATCACAATCAGGAATTGGCTCTGCTCTTGCGAATCGCGCACCTGCGTCGTTGTCCAGTCGCGCCGCTACCGATGATAACCCGTTCAAACATTCGTACAAAGAAATTGCGTGTCTCGACAGCAAACACCTTGACGTGTGGCAAGTGGGGTTTTCCTATGCCGGTGAGTACTACACTTACTTCACTAAGTTCACGCTCTTCGCTTTTTCATTTGGATAGCTCTCTTACTCTAGGTATAGGTGACTGTCTAATTTCATCCGGCGATGACGGCATCGTACGATTTTGGAAGAAATCTTTGTCCGGTGAATGGCTCGAATATGCAGAAACGGACATGACGTACCAATGAGTGATCATATTCTCATTTGGCTCCCGTTATTCTACTTTATCTTCACATTTCCTTCGTTGATTTCTTTTTTGATAAGATCTTTCGACATTTTGGACAATTCGACTATTCAGGAGAAGGGTGGGCTCGAATCTTACATTGACGGGCGTTCTTGTACACACGGTTGTTGCATGGGAGTACTCTCCGTGTGATTGTCATGTTTAGTAGACAGTGATACCCATACACTCTCGGGGCTACAAGCTTCTAATATTTTGTATCCTAGTTTGTTGTTCTTTAATTCCACCTAATTCCCGATTCAATTGGCATCTGGACGCTTAAGCAGCCACACCTTAGGTCCTTCCTAATTTGTCTCACATGTCGTGGCTATCCTTATTCGATCAGGCAGTCGCAATCCGCAGTTCTTCCGGCCGGACACGCGATTTTCGAGCAAGTATTAAGTTAGTCGCGGGACTTTGGCAGGACTGTCTTTTATTGACCATGCACCTCATTCCTTACCACGCAAAGACCTACTTGATACCATCAACCTTTCCCATCCTTATTGTGTTATGGCGGTCGGTCCCACCCTCGGAACCGGGTTGTTCATCGGTTCTGGTCAAGCTCTCGCCGTGGGAGGTCCCGCCACGTTGCTTGCTGCTTATGTATTCATATCCCTCTTGGTATACTGTCTGACCACTGCGGCTGCGGAAATCGCAGCTCATATGCCCGTTCGCGATGGCACAATGCTCTCGCACACGTATCGGTATGGCTCGATTCACCTGGGCTTCGCTCTCGGGTACCTTCGCTGGTACACCTTAGCTCTTCTCGCCTCCTTTGAAATCATCAACGCGATGGTCAACCTGACCTTATGGGAGCCCGGCACCCGCGTGACAATACGAATTGCCATTGTCGCCGGGGTAATCTTTTTGTTTAATATGTTGCCAGAGAGGGTGTTTAAACGAACCGAGGCCTTCTTTACGGGAGTGAAACTTCTGACAACAATCGGACTGATACTTCTTTCCATTTTTCTGGCGGCTCGCGGGATCCCTGGTACCTCCATCCGGGGTTTCTATTACTGGCGACACCCCGGTGCGATAAATCGGTACCTGATGCCGGGCTATCTGGGACAGATTTTGGGTCTGGTACAATGCGTCCTCTACAGCACCATCATGTTCATCTTCAGTCCCGAATTGACCGTGGGGAGAGCGGAAACGGCCGACATGGAGACAGGGTTCAATATCTTGAGGGTGGCACAGATCGACAACATACACCTTTGCGTGCTCTATATCCTCAGTGCATTGGCTGTCGGCGTGATGAGCCCTTCAAACGAGCCGTTACTGACGAATTACGGTGCTGGCGCCGGCATGTCGCCGTACGTTGTGGGTGTTCGCAGATCCCAAGTTCCTACGCTCCCCGTTGTCGCCACCACGCTGATATTCTTTTCGTCCGTGGCCTCTGCTCGCTCTTTCCTTTTTATGTCATCGCGTACCCTGTGTTCTTTGGCCGAAGCGGGACACGCGCCGGCGCTCTTCAAGAACCGCAACGGCTGGGGAGTCCCGTATGCATCGGTAATGGCATCAGCCATGTTCGCGAGCTTCGCTTTTCTGTCCCTGAGGTTATCCGTATCAGTCGTCTTCAATTTCCTGCTCTATTTCATCACGACTTCAGGCTATATCTCGTGGCTGTGCCTGTGTATTGTTTACCTGCGCTTTCGACGGGCGACCAAAACGCAGGGGTTTGTCTGCGTACACCAGACCTTCATCCAGCCGTTCGGCACGTACTTTGCCATGTTGGTCTGCGCTTCGCTGTCCCTCGCCAACATCCTCATGACCGTGGTCCCGGCCCGGTTAACTATCCGGAACCCCGTGGCTGTGTATTTGGGAGCCATCACGTTCCTCTTGCTCTATATTGGACACTACGCGAAGGCTTCGATGGCACAGGTTGCCGCCAGCGAAACCGTCACCATGGAGCATTGTCGACACCCGACCGAGAACCCACATCCCAGCATACCATCTCTTTGATACTGAGTGCCCGTGCGGGTTTATTGGGTGGCTTCAAGGCGTGCGATCGAGGCGAGTGTCGTTCCGAGGAATCGAGCCACCAACCGAGTAGTATACTTACAGATAGACCCGTGATCAATACATCGTGTCGACAGACAGAACCAGCGAGTGTTGCTTTTGGTTTCGGACCAAGAACAGTTTGCCTCCCGTAGTATAGATTAGATTATATCGGTCGGGATTCGAAGGAGTAAATAATGTCGAGGCTTCCCGCTCAGCCTTAAGGCAGAAGGACCCAGGCATCCAGGCAACGACGGGGCCTCCAGTTTTTTTGCCACTGGGCAGCCCCTAAAAGTCCCCTAAAAGGCCCCTAGGCGTCCCTAACATGAGCCGGAGGTATTTAAATGGGTATTGGCAGTGTCACCCGAACAAATAATGGCCATCAGGGCGATATCCCGCCGGTAATTATTGTTGCCATCGTCGACCGCTTTGGGTTGGACCATCGTCGACTAGTAAGGAACGAATGATTTAATTAATTAGGCCCCCGTCCTCCCCCCTCGGGCCTTCGCGACTTGGATTTGCATCTGGATTTGATTCTGATTCTGATTTTCTTCGATTTCATCCTCTCTTCCTATTTCCTTCATTCTAATCATTTTCCCCGGACGATGTCTCGGGAAGATCATACTACTACGAAGTAACTAGTACTAAATTACTAGTCCAGATGACTTTTCCACGCTCCGGTTTCTCCCCTCTTCCTCCTCTAAACGTCGCCCGACAGCGACTGATCAACCCACTAAACTATGGAGAACCAGAATGGATCCCAACTTATCCCTCTTTCTTTCTCTTCTTTTCCCTCCTTCATTTCTACTTTTCAGGTTTACCATTCTTCCCTCTCTGGTTGCGTCCTGAATGTCTGGTTCCATCCGTCGCTCCTCATTTCTCGTTTATCGCCTGTGCTGTCATGTATATCGTGAGGACCTTGGCCTCCTTACTTCCTCTCGTTGCAGGCCAGTTGATTTGGAATCTTGTTCCCCGGTCGGGATCTCATCCTGTCTGAGCCATCCTTCCTGGTCATCACGGTTTCAAACATGGACGGGGACGAGCGTTTGTCGCCCCCCCTCCGTGTGGCTTTGCTATAAGAAGCATGTCACGACTCATCGACCAGCCGCAGGGCTGGCCCTGGCTTGATCTTTTTCTTTTGCTCATCTGTGTCTTTGCTCTCCATGACTAACCACAACCAACGGCACTAACTAGCTAACACTTTCTACTTCTTCCCCCTTCCTCACCTTTTCCCTCTTCTCTTGTGGAAAATTTTCTTCCCGTTGGGAGACTGTGGATTTCACCTGACAGGGACTACTTACTACCTAACGGACTAGTCTCCGGGGAAGACATGCATGATCTTGTTTGGTGGCCAGACCACGATTTCTTTTCTTTTCCTTTCTTTGCTTTTTTTTTCCCCCTTTCACTCTCTTCTCAACAACCACCAGTCAACAGGCTGTTGCCATGGTGAACCACTGACCTCAGGGACTCCTCACCCTCTCTCACCAGGAGACATGGGACTTGTTTACAGCAGCATGGTCGCTCACGCCTCGCAGCCGCCAAGGAGGCACCTCCCGCTAAACCCGAACAGGATCTTGGGGCCTGGAATACTCCATGTGGATTAGCGGCCCTCCCAGTTACTGAAAACGGACAAGCGGCCCATGAAACCCCGTGCCCAGGCAGCCCCAGGCAGCACCCGGCAGACCAGCCTGACTTCTCAGGCCCCTCGAAACCGGTCGATGCTTTGCTTCGTCATCTTTGCCGTCTGGCGATTTCATGGACTCTTCCTGTTGCAATATATGGGGGGGTTTTTTTTTTTTATCGGCATCTTGCAGAGACATCCAGCTCGACTTTCCACGACTTTTAGTCCTTCCATCCCTCCCCTCTCCATCCCCTTAAATTCATAAACCCATCGCCGAGTCACCCCAAGCTGCCTTCCCCCCGGAGCCAAAGCAAGAGCGGGTGGGAAAAAAAATTCGACGCTTTTCCTCTTTCATTCTGGGTCTTGGACGCGCCGCTTGAATGGCCCATCCGTGGCTTTTAGCCTCTCTCACGGCTCTCCCTCCCTCCTCTCTCCTTCGCCCTCTCCCTCGCCCTCTCTCCCTCTCCCTCTTTTCGCTTGCTCTCGACCTTTGTTCTCTTCTTCCCTGATCGACAGCCTTCCTCTTTTTCCGAGCCATCCTCCCCTCCGGTTCTTCTCTTTTGACCACACTTTCCTCGAGTCTTCTCTCTTGCTCTTCTTCGTCTTCTCCCCGTTTACTTCCCCTTTGTCTTCATCCGTTACTTCCATCCCGTCTTCTCTCTAACCACGTTCCTCTCCTCGACTTGGAATTCGCCCGAGCTCTCAACTGACCATTACTGTCGCCTCGTCGCTTATTTGATCTTCCCTCCATGCGATTCGTGGCCCGTCCGCCTCTTTGCGTTCATCGGTTCCCGATTCTCGACACCCTCCTACTCACCCACGGTCGCACGCGCCACAGAGCTCGACGACTCGATTAACGACTCGATCCTCGTCCGTCTTCCTTACGCCTCCAAGATACGATTCAGACCCCTTGAGAAACGATATTCTTCGATCCGCCGACGATTCCTGTGGTCCTAGGTCCTTGTGCGGTTGACTGCACTCACCCTCAGACTCTTGTTCTTCTCGTCAGCTGTTTGGGGACAGACCCTTGACCCTTTGGAGGATTGAACAAGCCCTCTGGTGAATCATACACTACACTGGTCGTGTTCATTGCTGTCTTGCTGCGGGGCTTAGCGTTTCCATCGACGGAAGATTATCGCCTGCAGTGACAAAAGTGACATGCGTGCTGGGCTTTGACGGGTTCCCCGTAAGCCGTTCGTCCGCCCGAGGCAGAAAAACATCACTCACCCGCGCGCTTTCCCTTTGTGCTTGCCTGAGAGGGGGTATTCTGTCAGATTATGACAGATACCTCCCCAGTCGCCACCACGCAACCAATCACGGAGCCATATCCGGTCACCGTCCCCCTGAACTCGCCGGTCGTCAACGGCGCCGTTTCCGACTCCGCCGCTCCTGAGGAGGAGGAGCCGTATACCATCAAATGCATCTGCTCTTTTGAAGATGATGATGGGAACACGGTCTTCTGCGAGGGATGCGAGACCTGGCAGCATATTGAATGCTACTACCACGGTCAGGACGTGCCAGAGGTCCACAACTGCGCAGATTGTGAACCCCGTTCGCTGGACGGCCGGCGCGCTACGGAGCGGCAACGACGCCTTAGAGAGCAGAGTGATGGCGGTGACCGTAAAGCCAAACGTTCTGGCGCAAAGTCTCAGAAGAAGAAGCCGAAGGAGCATGGCGACCAGGTGAACGGCTTTCACCACCGATCCGAGTCTGGTGCCCGAGACCATCATCCAGCCAAAAAGACCAAAACTAGCCATCGCGCTTCCGGCTCGATCAGCTCCATGTCCGGCCTTCCCTCCCTTCAGCCAGACGCCCGGAAGCGCTCTGCCGCCTCGATGAGCCCTACCAAACCGCCCGGGCCTTCAATCCCCCTCTATTCGAACGAGTTTCTCCAATTGTACGAACGTGACCAGGGGCATGCCAACATGGACAGCAATCTCTTTGTCAACCTACCCCTTGCTGCCGACTTGGCGTCGTGGGTGACGGAGCCCAGCGCGTTGGCTCGTGTCGCGAACGGTCGGTCGGCGCAGGACATCTTCACCTGGTCGGGGGCTGCCATTGACCGGTCTCGATGGCCGTCGCTGTCCACAGAATCCATTACCGATTCCCTTGTTGAGGTGGATGGCAAACACCCAACCTGGAAGATCCTCAAGACAGAAAATCGCGTGTGCAAGGACGAGATCGTCGGAGAGATTACAGGAAAGATAGGGATGCTTCGGGATTATTGCCTAGATCCGAGTAATCGTTGGCAGGAACTCCGACACCCGGAGCCGTTCGTCTTCTTCCATCCTCAACTCCCCATCTACATCGACAGTCGGCATGAGGGAAGCATTCTGCGTTACGTTCGGCGCTCCTGTCGACCTAATGTGACCATGAAAACCTACATCACCAATGAGGTGGAGTATCATTTCTGTTTTGTCGCCAAGGAGGACATTGCTGCCGATTCGGAGATTACCGCCATGTGGTATTTGGACCCTCAACTCTTCGAGTCCACGAATGGTGTTGTCAAACAGGAGTCCAGCGACAATGCGCAAGACCTGGCCGCCATCTGCATTAGTAATGTGCTAGCTCATTTTGGTGGATGCGCCTGTAACCCATCGATGCCCTGCCTGTTGTCCAGCGTAGATCGCCGACGGTACCCCAAACCTTTGGATCCCAGCGCCAAACAAGCCGCCGCTGCCAGGCGCAAGAAAACGAAAAGCAAGTCCAACATCTCTCCGCCGGCCACGAACAGCCGTGCTGGCAGTGAGACCACAAAGAACGTGGAAGAAGAGGATCCGACCGAAAGCCGCTCGGCGTCCGGCTCTGCACGAGGCCACACCCGGAGTCGCGATCTGACGCCAACTTTGCAGACCCCTACGGAAGGGAATGGCTTTGGGGACACCGAGCTGTCTGCACGGGAGAAACGGAAGATCGCAGCTGCAGAGAAAAAGTTCCAGCAATTGGAGCATGATCAACAAACGTCGCACAAAAGGAAGAAGCGTGCCAGCGGCCCAACCACCCAGACGACACCGGGGCCTCATGACCGACAATCCCACTCGCCTCCGCTGACCATTTCAACCGGGTCGACGTCCCTGGCGCGTCACGGATCGCCACGGAAAACATCTGGACAAAGCAATCCGCCAGTGCGCTCGCCCCGTGGTCGTCAACCGTATGTGGACTCTGCCATCCAGACCGAGCCGGATATTAGCGATGGACAGTCTCTGCCTTCCCAACCATCTCCTCGACGGCCCAGCTTCGTGTCGCTCACTCAGCGACTGCTGAAGCGGTGCTATTCGGATCGTGTACGGCTGGAACAAAGACAGCAATCACCCATATCGCCGTCTCAACAGAATCTCATCCCACATCTTGCCTCGCCTTCCTCGAGCCCCCATGGAGCACCTCCCACCGCCACGACCCCTAGTGTGTCTGGTGCAAAGGAAGACGTGGATATGAAAGACGTGGATTCACCACTGGGACTGTCTCCAGCGCAGCAATCACCTCGAGATCTAGAATCTTCGCCATTATCAAGCCGAAGCTCTGTCAAACCTCCATTGCCGCCTCCATGGCCCTCAACAGCAGCCCACAATGCGCGAATACCTGGAAGCAGTAGGGTCGGTGGTCAGCCTGATGCTCAGGGCCCTCTTTCCTCTGCAGCCGTGCCGTCCACGAGTCCAAAATCCGCCGCCCCTTCAGTCCTCTCATCTCCGCCTACCTTAGATCCTCCTCAGCACAACGCGGCCCCTCCTGGCTCTGGAGTAACGGCACCCAGCCCCGCGAAGAAGAAGCTCAGCCTAGGCGACTATTTGATCCGAAGAGGAACCCTGACAACGCCGACCTCTGAGAAGCCTCCTACCCCGGTCACCGCAATGCCCCCGCCGAAGTCGCCACCAAGTCATCCTGCGGCGAATCACGACGCAGCAACGACCCCTAAGGACAATCCACGTCCTAAAGATCAGACGACGAGTGATGGAGGTGCGGCCAAACCTAACGCTAGTTCCGCGGATGTCACCATGAAGGATGTTCCGGAGTTGACACGTCCGTCACAACTTCCACCTCTTTCATAATAGTTTGGGGTTTTCAGGATTCCTCCTGGGGAGGCTCATTTGACGAAGTTCTTTGTCACTTCTTTTTCTTCTGAGAAACGATTCTACTCTTTCTGTTACTTCTTCTTTTCTCTTCTTTTTTTTTATTCTTCTTTTCCAATACCAAGTGTGTAAATGATGGGGGATGGCGTTTTTCGTGGATACGGATTCTTTTGTTCTTCTTCTTTCTTCCCTTGTTTTCTATTTTCCCTTGGATTGCAAAAGGCGTACCGGGCGTGTGGAATGGAAAGCGGGTTACGGATATACTCTGGGACGTGTATGGCTAAAGGAATCTGGCTTGAATTGGGCCTTTCTATCGGTGATTTATGTGCAGCATCTGCTTCACGATTTGTCTTTACTACCCCCCTTTTTTTCGTCTTTATTCTTTACATTGTCTCTTTATAATTTAGTTATTTCTGACGACGTTCCCTGGCTTCTGGGACTTACGGCCCTTTTCTATGGAACTAAAGTCGATCAAATGATGACAAGAATTTTTTTATCTCCAGCTAATGTCTTGTAAGCTTTTTGTAGGAACCATTTCGCGATAGGGATTTGGGAACTCAGTATTGGCACTTGGTAATTGACTACTCTGTCCTGGCTAGAATAACCGACTTTACATAGCATATAACTAACTACACGCAGCGAGCCTTTGACTTTCGCATGGTTAAAACACACCCCTTTCAAACCCCAGCAGTCGCCGTGCCCGTCGCCGTGATAGCAGAAGTCGTCTGATCAAGAATGGGCGTGGCGCCCGCAATCAAGCTCGGACCGGGAATCTCATAGTCCAACGTATCATAAATATTAACCAGCAAGCCAGGATCCGTCGGAGTATAAAACTCCGTCGCAGACACGCCCTCGGGACTCGCCGACCCATCCCCGGTGATCTCGAGATTGAAACACTGCACGTAATTCTGGGCCTCGTTCACCGTGCCGGCGCTATGCAACGCGATCAACTCATGTCGGAGCACGTAGTTCCCCGGCGCAATGTCCTCGGGGATCTCCACGAGCCAGGAATTGCTGTTCTCGATGAGGAGGTCGTCGCCCCAGACGCCCGGCACCGAGGAGTCGTCGACGAGCCCGACCTCCGAGATCTTGAAGAACTGCAGGCTCGTCTTGTCGACGGTTTCGCAGGAGGAGCCGCAGTCCGCCAGGTAGTCTAGGACCGGCCCGTGGTGTGTCTCGGGCCAGTCGGTCCACTGTAGGTTGATGCGGTCGCCGGCGGCGACGGTGGCGTGGCCTTTGGCGTTCGTGGCGTTCCGGTGGCAGATTATGTCGGAGGAGGTGTAGTCGGGCGGCGAGATGAAGCCGTTCGCCGTGTTGGGGGTCCCCCATGCTGCGACGACGGGGGGGTCGTCCATGTAGGGGAAGGAGTTGATGTCCCAGCCTTCGTAGGAGATGCCGTTGATGACGATGTTGGTGACGTGGCCGTGGCCTGCGACGCGAGTGGCTGCGAGCAGGAGGGCCAGCATGGTCGTGGATCGTTTGGATTCCATGATGTTGGGCTATTCAAGCACAGACAAGCAAGTAAGTGTAGGTAGGTGGTGCTATTGACCAATTGGCCTAGAAGAAGAAAAAGTCCGCTGAAGTATAGAAAGAACCTCGACTTTTACGGGAAAATGACCACCTTTATATACGGCCTGTCTGGCCATATATGCCTGTTTTCCCATGCGAATTCCCCCCAGGCCAAACAGCCCCTCAATCTTTCTTTCCAACCCCGCTCATAGCAAGATTGTATACTCCCTGCCCTTGACGCCGCATTGAAACCGCCCAGACTGCACCAAACAAGGCGTCAGCCTTCCCGCGTGAGCGTAATAACCACCCTCCACGACCAATCTTCCGACTGGACGCCATCCAACATCAGCAGCAAAAACGGTGGGTCACGGCGCGCGAGCAACGACGGAAATAAATTAATGGCTTCGGCATTGATGTTGTTGTCCCGGGTTGCAGTTGGAACGGCACTTGGTCCGGGCCTAATCGGGAAGAAACGCACGGCTTCAGAGGGGGCCGTAGCTGGGTGGGATTGAGTTGCTCCGTTGGTGCAGATGCAGATGCATGAGCGTGCTTTGTGTATATATCATATGGGTTTTGCATTGTTTTGGCTCGGAGGGACTCCGGGTGGACGGATGGAGATGCCGAGTTGGGGGTGTAGTTGTGTGCATGTAGTTGTACATATGTGGATGGAATGAAACTGGATGGCGTCATCGCAGATGAATGCTCTTGATGCCGTTGGGCCAGACCCTAAGCATAAGTCAGTCACATGTACCTTGCTTATGAAGGGACATTGTGTATCAAGGAATGAGTGTATAATTCATCCGGACGAACCTGGGGCTGAAGCGGTATCTAGCCTAGCCAATGGCTAGATTCTGCGGGGAAGGGAGCTCGTCAATAACGTGCCCTGCCTCTCGATAATGCAACCAATCATTGGAAAGTGCAGCCATGAGTTTCTTTTCCAGAGAGGATGTCAGAGAAGATGAAGGTGTTAAGGAGTCGAAGAAACAGGACAAGTTGGGGGATGGAAAGAGGAAGAGGAGAGGAGAGGAGGAAACGTGACCTCCTCCTTTGAGTAAACTCGTGACAATCCTGCGGGGTCGCTCCGATCTATTTTCTCTTTTTGCATCTCTTCATCTCGACTACAGCTTTCAATCCTCCTCGTACTTGAGCTATATTCTCAGTCCATCCTCATGGCTTCACATGAATTGACCGAAACCCGTCCTCGGTCCTTCCAGGGCCACACCGACTCCCCCGAGCTCCAACAAGTGCCTTTAGCACCAGCTGATCAAGGCAAGTCGGCTTGGTTGATGCTGGTATCATCATGTATAATTCAATTGCCAGTGTGGGGTGAGACTCCAACCCAATAATGCTGGAGATATCCCACCGACTGTCCATGCTTAGGGTTCTCGCTCGTATTTGGTATCTTCCAGGAATACTTCTCCTCGCACAACACCTTGCAGGGAAGTAAAGGCGATCTAGCAATAATAGGAACCACGTCTACGGTATTACGTCCTCTCTATCTAGCAAATATTAACCCGTAAATACTGAACCGGGCATTCTGGCACATAGGGCGTTCTATACCTTCTTTCCCCCATCTCGTTCACCCTGCTCACGCGGTATCCTCATCTACAGAAGCATTGTGCCTCTGTCGGTCTTCTACTGAGCGTCGGCGGGTCTTTGGCTTCGTCCTTCTCGTTGACCGTGTGGCATTTGATCGTTACGCAGGGGGTTGTCGCCGCCATAGGCAACGGGCTGATCTTTAGTCCGTCGACCTTGTATCTGGATCAGTGGTTCATTCGGAGAAAGGGCCTCGCATATGGCATCATGTGGGCAGCGAAGAGCATCTGTGGCGTGGCGCTACCGTTTGCCGCAAGGGCTTGTCTGGAACAGTTTGGGGCAAGGACTACGCTGAGGGCATGGACTGTGGTGACGGTGCGTTTAACCTCCTCATATACTCCACAAAACGCCTGTTTCTTCAAACATAAGATCCGTAACGCTGACTACTTCCAGCTCCTCTCCACCCTAATAACCCTACCTTTCGTCAAACCGCGTATCCCCCCAGCCCCATCAACAGCTGCTCGACCCCTAGACCTGGCCTTCCTCAAGCTCGTCACCTTCTGGATGCTCCAGCTCGGCAACATCATCCAAGGATTCGGCTACTTCCTTCCAACAACCTACCTCCCAACCTACACGACCACGACCGCCGGCCTCTCCGACACAACCGGCACTCTCCTAATCGCACTCGTCAACGCCACCTCCGTCGTCGGCGGAATCGTCCTCGGCACGCTCTGCGACCGGTTCGCCGTCACGAACATCACGCTCCTATCATCCGTCGGATCCGCCCTCTCCGTCCTCATCTTCTGGGGTCTCTGTACCTCCTCCCCCCAAACCGCCCTCGCCCTGTTAACCCTCTTCTCAACAACCTACGGCTTCTTCGCCGGCGGCTTCAGCTCCACCTGGTCCGGGGTACTCACGCAAATGAAGCGCGAAAGCCCAGCCCTCGAAACCGGGCTCGTCTTCGGCCTACTCGCCGGCGGCCGAGGCATCGGGAACGTGATCAGTGGGCCGCTCAGCTCGGCGCTTATCAGGAAGGGGTCTGTGGTTGGGGGGAGCAGTGGGCAGGATGGCGGGGCATTTGGGTATGAGAGTGAGTATGGAGCGTTGATCTTGTTTACGGGCGTTACGGCTGTTTTGGGGGGGTGGAGTTGGATGTGGTTTTGTTTGAGGGGGTGGTGGAGTAGAGGGGATAGGATCTAGGTGATTTGGGTTGCTGATGAATGGAGTGAATGAAAGGGAAGAAGAAGAGGAGAGAGAGTATGTGTATGGTTGACAGTGATAGGGAACCGTTCATGGAGATGATATAGTTCAGTCTAGTATAACCTCATATAGTTCACAGACATAGGTATAGTCTAATTCGTCGAAGACAATTCAACGCAAATCCAAAGAGAAAAAAAAAAAAAAAAAGAGAGAGAAGGACGGAAGGACGAAAGAAGGAAAGAGAGCTAGGGAGAAAGAAAGAAAAAAAAGCAACCAACTCCGAAGAAAGGATCTAACCCCCCGGCCAAATTCGCCTTTACATGTCCCCAAAGTCAAATTCACAGCGATCAACTCCCCCCAATGCAATCATGCAATGTTGATTATGGCGTACATACATAATTACATACAGTACATAAGACAATGCGCCAAGTGACCTTAGAACCCCCGAAGACACGTACTTGTACTTTGTACCATGCATAAGCCAAAGAAACGACAGACATGATCTGGCCTCGAGCCAAGGCCAAGCAACACGCAACGTGGACGCCATGTGTTTTCGGTCTTTGTTTTTATGTCATCGTGAGGAATCTAACTAACTAGTCAATCCATGACACTCTACGGAGGTGGGGACCAAAAAGTAATGTTAATCGGACTGCCACGAGTTAGTAATATTCACAGCCAAGTAGTTAGAAAGATCTTGTAAAGTAATATAACCTTTATGTGAGATATCATATTATTCTCTATACCTACTTGAGTAATTGATCATATTATAAAGCTATTTAAAGCCTTCATTAAGCCAAAAACGCCTTATTTGGGTAGTAAATTCGATCATTTTAGGTAAATATTATGTTATAATCAAAGACATTAATATCCCCGGAAAGAGTATCTTTATATGAGGCATCATATATATAACACTCTTTACCAACTCTTTCTGCTTAGCCGTGAATATTACTAGTGGCAGTCCGATTACTTTTGGTCCCCACCGTAACTACCTACCTATTCTTACTTACTATCTGACATAATGTCATCCATGCTTACGCCGTACATAAAGGAAAGTCGGGGTCTGAGCTAAGATCTACGATAGTCTAGGATGGGCCGGTTCATGATTCTGAAGATTTATAATCTTTGTTCTTGTCTGTCTGCCTCGTGTCAGACGGGTTGCAAGCCCGATGATCACCCGAGGATGTATATCAATGACAAAGGAAATCGAACACAAAATAGAAAGAGAAATCAAAAAGGGTAATTGACGAATGAACCATTCGCTGGAAATCCTGGAAATGCAATGAAACCAATCGGATTATGTAAGAGAAATAGTAGAAAGTTGAGAAGCGAAGAAATTGCTCAATGCAGTGGCGTATGACAGCATATACATGAACTCTTGAAGCGTGGTAGACAAAATGCATGGGGATCAGGAAAACCAAGGGAAAAGAGAAAGGGGTCTTTAGAATCATGCACGTATGCGAAAAGAATCGAGGGGGAAATGAGAAAAGGAAAATAAAACGCCTCTCTAATGCTGGCAAATGTGCGTGACTCTCAGCCTTCACTCGCCGATTCGTCGAAAGATTCACAAAGGAAATGAAAGGAAATAAAAAGGAAAAGGGGGGAATAAAATCCACAAGTATGGGCCATCTCTATCGCATGATCCATAGATCGTAACACCTTTCATCTGTCATGATAACCTGATTACAAAAGAAAAATAAGGATAGCAAACCGCCGGGTGCCATGCGGCACTGGGATGTATCAAGTGCCCGAGGAAGAAACGTAACTGACGAATCCGGAAAAGGCGTTCGTGGCAAACGTAACTGGCGATCATGAAATTGAATAAACACCGAATCGTCGGAACGAAATCACATCGGCAAATTTTTGGTCGCGCAGTTGCCGATACACTCTCGGAAGGATTGTCGGGATCGAAGTAACGATGGGAGTTGTTCGCGGACGGTTGTGCAATGCCAAGTCCCACAAAATCAGCGCATCCAACCCCATGCCGTGTGATTGTCACACCAGGAAGCATAGTCCACGTCACCCAAATCCTGGAAGGTAGAAAGAAGCAGAATTGTGGTATAGGCAACGGTTGTACAGTTGAGAAATTCCCCGGATATACACCCGGTCTAGCTAACGTCACGATCGCGCCGAGCGGCTCATGGAGCGCTCAGGAACTGGGGCGGGCGTAGGGGAATAAGATCTCGTGGCGCCAATCAAGTCGACTTCATGTTCCTGGAGAACGACGGCGTACTTGGGATCACGCAAAAACTTCGGTATCGAATCCTGTGGGATGTTAGAACAGAAGCGAAGGGCGGATCCAAGTGAAGCGACTCACACTTGACATAAGCTTGAAGACAGAAGTCTGCGCCATCTCAAACAGATGCACCACCTCCTGAAGGCTTTTGAACATGGATTCGTCGTCGCCAACTGCTTTAGTCATACGGCTGGCCAAGCTGTTGCGCAGAGCATGGTCAATGTTGAGTTCGCAAGGCGATCCAGGAGCCAAGAAAGCGTTGTAAAGACCTATCAGATCATTAGCATTCGGTGCAAATCAAACGCAAAATCAGGGATGCAACCCACCATAAGCGGCAGCAAGCGTCTCGCGAACAGCGTCGGGCTTCTTGAAAGTGCCGACCTTCTCGGCCTTGTGGTAGGTGGCCGTGAATTCGGAGACGTCGAGGTAGAACGACAGGTTTTCTTCGCAGAGCGAAAAGCGCAGGAACTCCCGGAAGAGTAGCCGCAGAGCAGGGTCCCGAAGGATGTGGTTCAGGCGAGCGTTGTTCGAATCTCTCGGGATGCCCCTATTATCGTAGGTCGTAGTGTCGCGAGCCTTGTCCCGTGCGATCCACCCACAAACGCGCTGTCCGTGATCCGTGATTCCGTAAATCGCATTCTTGGAGGGCTGGAAGCCGACAATCGAGTTGTCCGGCAGCGGAACCATGCGGTCCTCCTGAAGCATCGTGATCAATCCATACTTGACGAAAAGCTCTGCGATGAGGACCGTTTCACGGCGCTCTATCGTAGTCGAGCAGTCCATCAACCAGTCAACGGCGGCCTTTCCGGTGAAGGTATTCAGAACAATCTTTTCATTGACCTTGCGTTCCTTGGCCATTTTGACCCCCACTAATCCGTTAGAATAGTCACTTAGCGAATCGGAATCGGAGGTGGAAATGCTGCTTTTCACATTGGGCCCGTCCTGGCCCGCGAATCGACGGAAAATAACTTCAATGGTGGCCCGGTCGTGCGACAGTTTGTCCGTATCGGAATCACGCTCCAGGTTGACCAGCTGCATGGTATTCCGGGGCGATTCCAGCACATCGATCACATGGCGTGCAGTAATTCCATTTCGCTGGCAGAACCTTTGCAGGATGTTGATACCCTTGGGGGTGAGCTGATACAATGCGCCCTTGAGCGGGAAGATATGGGCTGCCTTTCCATCTACGGACTCGATGAAGCGAGCATCGACGAAGCGTTGGCACACCGAACGTGCCATTTCCTTGGCCATGGAGAAAGTCGTGGTGGTTGTAGTGGTAACGATCCGGGAGGGGTCCTTGGGGTCCGGCATCCGGTTAGACTGGGAAAACTTCAGGGATCCAAGGTTGTTGATGGCTTCTTCTGACGTGAACGAATGGTCATATTTCGTAAATCGTACGCGATGCGAGTCCAACTTCAAGCTAACCATCAGGGTCGAAAAGAGATCCATGAAATCCTGCAAAAGTGACCGAGGGGTTAATAACAGTCCACCTTTCGGTCTTCGATTGCAGAAAGGGAAAGAACGGCAAAACGCCTGGGGGTTCCGCAATTTCTTTTTGTTGCGACGAACTTACCTTCGTAAAAGGACGATCATCTTCGGTCATACGCAACAGCCTCGAAGAGGTTTGATGCATTTTGGACGGGGGTACAGCAGGCCCGGACTGCGACAGCTGTGGCACTGAGGATGGGGCGTGCGGAAGAGTCTGGCGACGCCTGTCCAAATGTTCGGCGGCGGTAAAAGGATTCGTTAACGGTTCAATTGGCGCCGGACTTGAGTCACTACCAGCGCTACCGTCGGAAGGTGGCGGTGTTAAGGCAGAGATGCCAGCGGCTTCGCTGATGCTGACCTGGGAAGGCTTGCGCGAGTGCTTGGACAAGCTGCCGGAGGAGGCTGACGGACGAAGGGGATAAGCGGTGGTGCCTCCAATTGACGACAGGTTTGCGATGGCGCTGGAGGTCTTTTCTCGAGCTAGAGCAGCAAAAGAGCGGCGACTGCGGCGTGAGATCGAGCCAATTACAGAACCAGTGAAACCGGACGTGCTTGGGATGAACGAAGGAGCGGCGCTTGTAATGGCTGATTGAGTGGACGAGGGAGCGACAACGGCGGGGGTTGCGGAAGTAGGGTGACGAGAGTCGACCGGGGGGTTAGAGACCGGTACAGATGCAGTGGTTGTTGGAGGAAGGGAAGATTGATTGTGAAGATAGGGATGGTGAAGGTGAGAAGAGGGAGGAGATCCTTGGTCGATGGAAGTAGAGGATATGGTTGGCATTGAATAGTGCGAACCGGAGAGTGGGAGAGCAAGAGGGGGGTTTGTAAGTATGTAAGTTTGTATGTAAAATAAAAAAAAAAAAAAGTGAAAAAAAAAAGAAGAATGGGAAGAGGGTTTAAAAAAAAAAAAGATAAAATAAAATAAAATAAATAAAATCAAAAAGGAAGGGTAGATGTGGAGGATGTGGGTGTTATGGATAAGGGAAATTGGAATTCTTTTTTTTCTGTGAAAAAAAAAAGGAAAATAAAAAATAAAATAAAATAGAAGAATATTCAAATAAACTCAACAAGAAGGGGGAAGAAGGGGAAAAAAAAAAAAAAAAAGGGCGGGGTTTTTTGGAGAGTTGATCAAGTAATTTAGTACGTAGGCTGAGTAACAGCCACCACTAACTACCACCTCTGTAGGCAGTAAGTAGGTAGGTAGCTTGCCCAGTCTTACGGGCAATCGCCAGTGCTGGGTACAAAAAGGTGGAAGGGGAAAGAAACGAGTGTACAAGAGTCAAGTGTACATCAAGGAGCAGAGTCAAGTAAGGCGGGAAGATGAAGGGGGGAGGGGAAAAAAAGAAAAAAAGAAAAGAAAAAAAGAAGAAACAGAAAGAGAGAGAGTAGAAAGGTGAGCGCTGAGAGGGTCTCCAGGGGTGTGAAGAAATTCGGCCTGTCATTCTGGACCCGCAGAGCACGCGGACGGTTTCATGCACCAGACAACGTGGGCCAGCGTCCTTTGGGGCGATCAGAAAATGCCTTCCTTCCCTGCAGAGTGCAAAGAGTTGCGACTAGGGTGGGATGTCTGAGTTCGGTATGGTACGGCTGATACTCCGTCCACTGGCGGCCTGGTAGGGTTGTCGATTGTCAATCGTAGTACTTTCGTTCTGTATTCTTCCTCTGATTATTCTATTCTATTCTATCCTATCCAATGCATCCATCCAAAGGACTTGTTCGGTCTTGTTTCTTTGTCCGCCTCAATTTGCCTCCAACGCGACCAACAAGGATACCCCTGAGCGGCTACTCTGACTGTACCGGGATGGTCATTACACCGAGACTTACTGGATGTTCCGTTCCAACTTCCAACTTTCAGCCAAAAGTGGAACTGTTTCCAACCCTCCCAGCGTCGGATGATCAGCGGAATCTACGCCTGGGGACTGAGTTTCGGCCAGATCGCCCAGCCCTTTTTTTTAATTGTTATTATTATTATTATTATTATTTTCCAATTCTTTCCGCATATGAAAGGATAGGGAAAGACAAGGTAAAAGAAAGATGCGACGTATTCCAAAATCTCCATTGACAGTTGAAACTGAACATGGAGAAGGATGGGACCAAGTGATTGATTACTGTTCGAAAGAGGGGGCCAGCGCAAGGCAAGGCGAGGAGGGAATTGGAATTGGAATAATGTGTGTACGGTGTACTGAGAGCCAAGGATTATTATTCACACTAAAATGGCAGCTGCAGAAGAGGCATTCTGATTTGGAAAAATCATTGGGTCTTATGCATTCTCACCTCTCTCGCTTTGCCTAATTCGGGGGTCTCTTAGAGTTTCCCACCCGGCGACTCTTATCATATGACGACAAGACAAGATTCCGTCGATGGGCAAGACTCCGTAGTTGGTAGGTTGAACATAAAAACGTTATCGGGTTCCAGTCCCCTGGAACCGCTGCTGAAGACAACAGAAAACGTGGCTCTCGGAGGGACACAAACAACTTTTTTGGCTCTTCCCTCACGGCGAGTCCGAAAGGCAAATTGGCAGGCCAAAGGAACTAGGAAAAAGGAAAATCCTCTGAGGCCACTGCCAAGCCCGTCGCGTTACAGAATTACCTTCTGTTTTGGGGAAAGCCATAAACCTCCAGGTCCACTCGATCCAGTAACGATCACCGGTCATTGACTCATTGCCGGGAAACCCCCAACTGCAGGTCGACCAGTCAGCTTGCCTCGTCACGAACCTTTGCGGTAAGGCTCTTACTGCAACGGGTTTAGCGTCAATACTAGCGCTGTTTGTCGGTCCACTCTTTGCCCCCCTCTCTCTGAGGTAGAAGTTGCGAACCGCCGAACACCACCTCAGTCAGTGACCAGGACAAGGACGGGGAGGGGGTGACCCATCTTTTCTCCCATGAAAGGCATGTTGCTGCGAAAGGTTTTGGGTCCCTGGCAATGTTCTCGGTTCTTGGTTGATCCAATTCCCGTTCCTCCCCCCTCTCTCAAACCGTTTTATTTCAGCGGGAAAATCATGATGTGATGCTGGGTAAAGAAAACGCTTCCCGGGCCACGTGGTGAATCATTACCGTAATCACCGACCTCCCTTGCCCAACCCCTCCTTTTTCCCGCGTGTACTTTCCCAGGTGAAAGCGTGGGACGGGGTTTGCTTCGGACTTCTGAAGTTCTGATCCGGGCCAAGAAATGGAATCAAGCATTTCCCAGGTGCAGATCGGCGACTCTGACTGGAGCCTCAGGCCTTCCAGCTTGTCAAACTTTGGGACGATTAATGATACATCAACTCACCACATGGCGCAAAGTTTCTGCTAGTTCCTCCGTCGGCTGGGAGACTATCAGCTATCTTGCAGATGAGGTGAAATTCAATTCGGTCTTCGCCATCTGATCGATCGAGCCTGCCATGGATTATCTCATTCTCAACCATTTTGCCACCGACTACTCGATGTAGGGAGAGAAAAAAAAAATAAATCAAGTAAATCAACTAGGTTCTCTCACACAAAGGACTGACGCAAAAAGGAACAAAAAGTTAAATAAAAATAAATAAAAAATAAAAAAAAATACGGATACATCAAACAGAACACCACCAGAACACCGGAAGTGGAACGAGACCAGATCCTTTGCCGTGTGGCTGAGCGAGAATACGGATCGTATTCTTCCCATTATGGAGTCTCAAAGAGAATTAAATCACGATGATTGAATGGTGACGGAGGGGAAAGAAGACCCCCCAATATGCCGCTCCCTTCCATGACTCTTCCAAGTGCCTTCTTTTTTTTTTCTTTCGTCCTTCCTTCCTTCCCTAGCCGAGATCCATGCGGTTCCACGTGGACACACGTGGAGAAGCGATGGCGGTCGCTCGGGACAGCTTAGCTGTAGCCTGTAGCCTGTCGGTCGTTGGTAGGAGTAAATGTCTCGCGATGTCCTCAGAGTTTGGGGTCCGAAGGAATTCCATCCCACCTCTCTACAAATGAGATCATGTCTAGAGAATTGCGTGTTTTGCAAACCTACAGTCCCTGCTTGGTATGATTTTCGCCATTCCGTCCGGGCTCTAGGACCCCTTCGCTAAGACGCTCAACCAATACACACGTAGGCCAGCGAGGGGAGAGGTACGTACTACGTACGCCTTCCCCAAAGTAGGCAATGAAGGATAATAATATGACATACATGATAAACGGGCAGGAAACAGGTAGGGGCACTAACCACTACGGAGCTATGGGTACCTACCTACCATACCTCAACCTGTAGGCTGTGGCTATCATCCTTGTCCAATACCCTAGCTTATTTACAGTTTACACATGGCATCTCAACCTTGACGGTGTCAATAAAAGGCAAACAAACAAACAAACAAACCCCATCAGGCGGTTTCAAAATTCTAGACATCCCTGTTGATTGTGCCCACTGCCCATTCAGAGAAAACTGGAGACCGGGTACGGATGAGTGAAAAAGAAAAAATAAAAAGAAAAAAAAAGAAAATAGACCTCTCCAGTCTCCAGTCTCCATCGACTTTTTAGTTTCGGCCGCACAAAGAAACCCTACGCTTGCTTCCAAGCTAAATTACGGAGTAAAAAAGCTATCTGCAAGATAGCTATGGAGCACGACTTTTTGCCGCGTGGACCGCGGCTAACACAGAATCCTGTGCTCCGTAAGGTACGGTGTACTCGCCGCTACCTATCCGCCTTTGTTTGACGGTGTATCACTCCCCCCCAAATTGACGTATCACCAACAACCAGTATGGAACATGGATGGTGACGAGGGGGGGGAAAGATCCATTCCTTCCATCCATCCTTCCATCCTTTCCGACCCGTCATCTCATCCCATGTCGGGATTCACGGGAACCAATGTCCCTGGCCAAACCTTGTCGCTCGGTTCTCCAGGCTTCGAAGGATGAGCATCATATTGAATCCTTCTCCGGGGTTGGAACAAGGGGGGGCCAAGCATCCAGAAACGCATCATCAAACATCATTTCCAAATGCAGGAATCCGAACTCCGTAGTCCGTACTTCAATGGATGGAGTATGCGCGGAAGTTTACCAGTCCCAATAAGATTAAGTTAGCTATCCCTCCACCCCTGATCCTCCCCTCCATGAGGCATGACGCGCCAAAACAGAGAGGTCTGATCGCTGAATCTGACATGAGCCCCTTGCTACCTCTATCAGCCTAGGAACTAACTAAAGCTCCCAATTGGAAAAATAGGGTTTCCTGGTCTCAAGGATCAGATAGCCACTAGGCTCGAAGGAGCCATCAAAGGAACAGCCTACCACGTAACACTAGCCTACCTACAATCCAAAGTTGCCATGGTTTAGAATGATAGAATGATAATCTATACGAGGCTCAAAATGGCGGATAAGCGAGTGGGCAGGATGGGATTTCCATTGTTCTACTCCATTCCCCTCTCTGTATCCGTATTTGGTACACCGTGTGTAGGATTGTATGTAGGCTAGGCAACCGCCTCATTCTATTACTATTACACATACCCTATATACTCCGTACTTAAGCGGTTGGGAAAGGGAAGGCATCAATCAAATATGTAACCGTAACTGTGACTGTAACTTGGAAGCGGATAGCGAAGACTAGGTAGAGACCGTAATACCTGTATAGTATCCGTATACTCCACGTCTAACCGACCCATTTACCTAAAGTCTAACCAACCTACAAAGTAGATAACCGTGAGGGCGCGTAAAATATTTACACTTATTTCACGATCAGATCACTCACACCCGTCCAGAAACTAGGAATGTAGCAAAGTCGATCAATTCAATACCGAAAGGCCCTATCATCGGCGAACAAGGGTATCCACTCCGGG